GTAGGCACACAGTTCAAAAGCCAGCATCTGTGATGTCATGGGGGTGCATTAGTGCACACGGCATGAGTAACTGGTACATCTGTGAAGGCACCGTTAATGTTGAACCATATTTACAGGTTTTGGAGAAGCATATGCTGCTATTCCGACTGTGTCTTTTCCAGAGAAGACCTTACTTATTTCAGCAAGACAATGCCAAGCCACATTTTCTGTGTCAAGCAAGAATGGGAAAACATTTTGCTTTTAAAACCAAAGTAATTGGCCTCCTCAATTCCCAGACACTTGCAGAGTGTTGTTAAAAGTGATGCAACACAATGCTAAACATGTTCCTATCAGCTTTTTTTGAAATGTGTTGCTGGCATCAAATTTAAAATGGGCAGATTAGGGTTAGGATTTTTCTGTTTCAGCATTTGGCATGTTGTCTTTGTACTATTTTCAATTAAATATTAGCCTTACAACATTTCCAAAACTTTTTTTTTTTTTTAGTGTCCCAACTTTTTTGAAAATTGGAGTTGTAAAATGATTGGTTATAGCAGCTTTAAATGTGTTTATGGTTCTATTTAGCATCAAGTCTTAATGTATTTCCAAGTTTGTGTTGTATTTATTGAATTATGCGTGCCGAGTTCAATCTAGTTCATTATTTTGGACTTCACTACTGCTACTGGTATGCTAGGACTGTCTTATTTGAATGTACTTGGACCATTTCTGCGAATTCTTATATAATAGCTTTTATTTATTTGAGCCTGGAAAGTCATTTTGCTTGGAAAAATGTGAAGAAAATCTGGCGTCTGTAGTTCTGCTGTAATGCCCGATTTGATGTGAATGATATTAATGGTAGAACCGAGCCCAAAACAGTAGCTTTGAAGCCTCGTATGGAACCAACTGGGTTCATTTTATTTATTTATTTTTTTAATTTTATCGTGTGAAGCTCTTTTTACCTCTTTTCATCTGTAGCTACAGAATACTAGGATTTGATACAAGTCTGTTTTCCCCACATCTGCAGTCTCAAGAGTAATGGTAGGAAGCAGGGCTTGGCTGATGGACTGGGAGGCAGGATGGATGGAACCACTGTGGTAAGCATTGTGGTGATGAAGTCAGTGTCTGGCCCACATTAAAACTCAACCAGGCATGTGCACTCGCACAACAGCTACACTCCAGCCAGAATGTTTAGAACACATGAAAGTGTTATCTACAGGCTGGTGTCTTTTTGCATTTCCTGCAGGCACATATTAGACTGTAGGAGCACTGTGGGTGGCTGGCAGAGCATTCGTCCCAGTGATGATATCGTTGGCTTCATACTGTACAGACAGCTACTTGAAATCTTATACAGGCCTGGAAAAGGTAAACCCTGGACCAAAACTCACTGATGTTTTTGGCAAGCTGTTCCCTTACGTGTGCAGGAAACATTGTTAGGCTTGCTGATGAGGATAATATCAAGGAGCACAACACACAGTGTGCTTGTTTTTTACTGCCCCACTGAGAGGGCTGAAAGCTTTAGGGGCTGAGTTTCATTTAAGCAGTATTTTATGTCTGTATGGGCTTTTGTTCTGCCTCAAAGCAGCAATAGCACAGTGTAAATGTATCGTATTCTGTTACAAGTAAAAGTCCTGAGTTCAAAACATTTGTATTCATGTAACATATTCTTAAAGTAACCAAAAGTAAAAGTACTTGTTATGCAGAATAGCACACTTCACATTAATGTATGCAGGACTATAAGTAGCAGAAAATGAAAATACTCTAAAGATACCCAGTTGTATTTAAGTAGTACAGTACTTGAGTAAATGTATTTAGTTACTTTCCATCCTTGGATATCGGCCTCTACCAGGGCTTAGAAATGCACATTTCTTCTTTAAACAACACATATGGAATATTGCAACACAAATTACTTCATCGTTTGTGTTCTGCGTTTGCATTATTCCACACTTACCTTTTCCCCTGACCTACTTTTTAAAGATTGTTATACATGTATATTTCACCGCTGCTGTGGCAACAAGTAAATATTGCCATCACACCCTTTCTTTTGTGCACAAGTAATTTCCAGCAGGGCACAGGGTAATGCTCTGGGTAAGACCATACTGCTGCTGATTATCACATTTATTGGCATTATAGCCATATGAAGAGAGAAACTTAATACGTCATCTGGAAAATATACTTTGGTTTCATACATTTGTTTCCACAAGTGAGTGCTATATTGACAAAGTGTGCGCTAGAAGAGTCACTGCAGTGTGCAGCCTGGTTACATCTGCATTTTTGGCATTAGATGATCCTCATCCTGTGTGAATTAATGAGGAGGTCAGGCTCAGGCTTCCACAAGCACATGTAATGGGGACATAGGACTGTTGGAAGGCAGAAGTCCAACCATTACTCACATCTAACTTTAACTTCAGTTATTGTGCCAGACAATCTATTCTGAACTTAACACACACATTTCTAATAGAGGGTCCAAAATCTCTCCTCAGGCCTTTGCTTGTTCAGTTCTGGCATGCTCTCCACATTCTCATGTAGACTATCACCTTTTGTTCTCGGTCACCACATCATAGTAGTACTCAGAGTCCCCACACTTACAGAGAGTAGAGTTATGACTATCTGAAGCTGGGACCATTACTCATGTTCATTACTGGTTTGGATTCCAGTTGAAAAAAAAAACAGTTTGTTTCTTTTAATGACAACCCTTTGTGTGGCTTCGAAGAAAAATGCCTGGGGTTGTACAGCTACACTCAGCTGCAACGTGTTACAGTATTGATTGCAACTTGATTAGCTTGTCCTGTATGCACTGACCAACAGTGCACAAATTTAAAGCTGCATTAGTTAAAATTGTTTTGTTTGTGGCCAACAGAGCATATTATTATATACATTATTAACAAATAACACATTAATAAATAATTACATTTGTGTGGTGGACGTATTAGAAAAGTGTTACACATCCAGAAGATACTGTGCAGCATTGGCTTTCATTCTGTTAGGTTTCTGCCACCTAACAAATGTTAAGTTCAGTCTTGACTCTTCTTTTACCACTGTTTTGTTCTCCACTAACTCCTGAGGAACATATCTGGCTATCAATAGTGTTGTAATAAAGGCTCCACTGTGTTCACCAGATGGCTGTTGTCTGCTGTTTGGTGCTGCTCAGGTGACCGAGCCAAAGTGACGTATTTGCTGGCCCACACACCAAAGCAATGACATGAAAGATGCTGCTGTAAAATGCTCTGCAGGGCAGAAGGTTGAATTCTTATTTGCTCATGATTGACTAGTGCAGCTTTAATTTTTTTTATGTTTTGTGCTACTGTGTAAAGAACATGCGAGGTCAAACATCGACTAATTTAGGCTGACTCTCTAAAGGAGCACTTGATCTGAATATAAGACAAAGTGAAATGTTTGACAAGACTTTGGCTCAAAAATGGTTTGGTTTGCAGGTTTAATTTAGGAATGATGCTCTGAGGTCAATTGCTTATACCTGCTAAAAGGCAGCAGTGTTGAGTTTGTTGGTGAGTGGAGCACATTTCTCCTGATAGCCTGACTGTGTAAAGCAGTAGAAGAGATGGTACTGACAGCCATTGCTCAACCTTAAGCATTTATTCCCACTAATACTTGTTTTATAGGAGGAGGGAAGGACCTCCAGTCTGCTTTACTGTACGTTGCACATGTTAGAGGGATTTTTGTGAGGCTTTATGGACCCTTAATGAATCACTAACTTCCAGTTTAGTGTGCTGTCCTGCTAGTTTTCTCAGAAATTAATACTCATTTCTTTTTCCTTTTTGGTTTTTAATGCTCTTTTTTATATTTCGCTACCACTACTTGTTCTTTTTACACATTTGTTAATATCCTAATGGTGCTTCTCAAGTTACTACCCATAGTTCAAAGACACAACACAGATCATTTTAATTAACTTCACATGTACCATATTTGGAAAGAATTCGGCTGTGCCTTAAAAATTAGTCTAGGAAATCAGTTTGTTCATAATAAAAATGATCATAGTATCATTCTATAATGAAGATTTGTACATTTTGGAGAGCATGTGACAACTGACACAGGTTAGGTGACCAGCCGTGCTAATTTATGCAACAGCCAGTAATATCCTTTGTTCTTTCACAAGCACTAGTGCCTCTTGGCATCCAGGAAAAGTGTAATGACCACATCACAGAAACAGCAAAAACAAGTCCAGGCAACCGCCCACACACACGCACGCACGCGCACACATACACAATGCTGAAGCATCAGCAAACACTTTTGGTACAGCTCAGGTCACCTCGCCTTGACCCTCTCTATTAGTCATTTCAGGGAAATAAACTGCAACAAAAGCGTTCTGCATTACAGATGCCAAATTTTATCAATATTTCAGCCTTGTCAGTCACACACCGCATTTATGTCAACTAATGCCATATGTGTTTACAAAGGTTTTAATTTTTGTCAGGCAGATCACTGATTCACCTTTTAGCCAGCATTCATGTGTCTCTTTAGAAGTGAGGTAATGTTGGAATCTCTTCCTGTGCAGATTAAGCTGTGCAGCGTTTGTGTTTTTCTTCTCAGGTCTCACAACCAGCACCCCAGGCACAAAGTGATCCAACAGTCAGCCTGGCATGCTCCGTCTACTGAGCGGCTGGGGTATTACCCGAGGTAGGTAGAATAGATTTATTACATTTCAAAAGTGAACAACTTAATGATTGATATGACTGTCTGGCTGGCTTTGAGTAAAGTACACAGAACGCGTAACCACAAGACGAGCATCATAACAGGGCAGGAAAGAGGTTATGTAAGGTTTACTGAGGGTTTGAGTCGAAATAGACTGGGGTGGATATAATGAAAAAGCCAGACATCTGCATGTGCTCAGGGTTATGTCATTCATTAAGGTTGTTGCCAAGTGACTTTGCCTGAATAGATGTACGTATGATCTCCCTTGGTAAATGTTTCCAGCATTGTGTGTAAAATGTTAGTATACATTTTATAACAGGATGTAATCAGTTGGGACTGACATGTAGTAATAAGAGACAAGAACAAGTGTTGTCCATTTTATTTGTAGAAATATGTGAAATTTACAGCAGTCTGCCAGAGTAGGACAAACATTTTGCAGGTGCAGTTCTCAGATTTGTACAGTGATGATTCATGAGCAATAACCTTTCTTGACACCAACTAATAAAAAAAAAAAAGTTGAAATGAGAATATCAAAATCTTGCATATAGCATCATGAATGCAGAAAATAGATGCTATTAGGTAGCTAATACCCCACTGCAGTACAGTAGCTGTATGTGCAGTCCTATGGTGATATTAACTACTTTTGCTATAACACCAGCACCACTCAAAACACTTCAGTATATTCAGAATAGCACCTTTAAAAACTTTTTCACGTAATATAAAATGTTATAAAAGAGTACAAAGATGCACAATAGATGAAACGCTGTCACTAGCTAGGTAGCTACAAGCCACTGTTACAATGTGCCTCTGAAGGTTGGTCATTACAATGCCAGCAGATCGTTACTGATGCAAACCTTCTGTGACAAGAGCTTGTTGGAACCAGTGATGTGTTCAAAGGACTTAAATAAATTAAAATAATGAGGGGGAACGTACACTTTCGTAGCTGTGAAAGGACTTGTATTTTCAAGTGCAGGCAGCAAATGTATCTTCATACGAGAACACATCTCCCCCAGAATTATAATATTCACCATTTGAAACTAACATGCAACATGAAAGGTAGTAGAACATAAAAGTTCCTGATGGATGCTAAATAACTTCAGTGCTTGGTTTGTGTTTCTGCATTTTCTGATTATTTAAAGATACACTCATGGCATTTCCCCCAGACAGAGCATATGGTGAAAAAAATGAACAAAATATTTTGTTCATCCTGCATTTTTGCCATTTCAGATTTCTTCAGTAGATACCATTCTGCTCTGTCATTAATGAAACAGATCTTACTGAAGGCAACTTTTTAAGAAAAAGGGAATCTTTTCTCTCCCAGAGTTTTTTCCACTGAACTTTTAACTACAGACTGGGGTAAACATTTTAATAAAAACCACTTACTAACCATGTCCACCTTCTCCTGTACATTAGTGTCTTTGCAGGGTCTAATGTATCCAAGGCACAGGGTTTTGGGGAACTGCCTGTTTGGCTGAGAGGCACCCAGAGGCCCACAGGGTGGCGGAGTCATCTGTAATGCAGCACCGAGGTTCAGTAAGGGTACGTCGAGATGGAGATGTAGATGATGAAGATGCTCTGGTAGGTAATGCGGCCCTGCAGCGAGATGGTGGTGGCCTGCACCTTCAGCCGCACTAGCCCTGGTCTGTCCAGAGGCTGCAGGGTGAAGATGATCCCCCTGCCTGCCTCGTCTCTAATGCCAAATGCCTGTCCCAGCATGCCTGTCTCTGATTCTTGCTCAAGTATGGTAAAAGATGTACGATCTTGCAAGATGCCTGACTCTGAGAAAGCAGACAGTCGTACCAAATTGTGATTGGCTGGAATGCCAGAGGGAAGCGTGAGCAGCTTGTACTGCAGGAGCTGAGGAGAGCCTCCTGTGGCACAGTCCAGAGAGCAGGGCCTGTAGCAAGTCCTTTTTAAAGTCAACAGGAAAGACCAGTGTCACCATAGGATTAAATTATCTGATAGCTACAAAAAATATGCATATGTACAGTATCTACAGTCTAATTACTGTATTTAAAAAGCTGGTATGATGGAAAAAAACATTGGTTTGATGGTTCAGGGTGATGGAGGTTCTGCTTTCAAATCACTAAACTTTGTCTTTACTGTTTATTCAAAATTAACATTTTTATTTTTTCAAATTTTTTAATCTCCCACCTCAAGAGCGAACAGTGTAGAAACTGTATCAGTTGTGACATCACAGCCAAGCATTACATTGGATACACAAGGATAAGCCCACGCCCAGCGCAGCACTACTCTGAGTAGTGATAGGTGGGGGTGACACTAAATGGTGATAGCTGTGCTAATGCTAAGCTAGCTGCCTCCAAATACATTTTAAAAATGATTGCTACTTTTGTTAGGAACCTTAAACACGATGATACCCCTCGGAAACATCCATCTGAAGTCTCTAATCTGCAACAGCCATTCAGGCTCAGACTCTAGTTCGTATTTCTATATGCTGTACTGTATATACTAGGGATGTAACGATATTTGTATTTTTGTGATATTGTAATAGAAAAATGTCTCTAATGTTGTGGGACTTTGGCGGCGTCTACATATGGTTATTTCGTTAGTTTAACTCCGTGCTTGTCGCAACATGACTGTCTGATCCCAACTGACATGGCGGATGCTCCGTTGTCAACTTTTACAGCTGTTGTGTGGCAGCATTTCAGTTTTCCCATTTCAAGAAATGATACTGGCAAAAATGAAACAAACAAACACTGAACAATTTACAAATAATGGCCTTTTATTGATTTTATAAATCAATCATGGCCAATATAATTTGAGTTTTTTGACCAAAGAAATTTTTTACAGAGCTTTTTAATTCAACAGAGGTCCAGCCAGTTGGTGCTAGTAGTCTCACAATTAGTGAAATGGGGATCACCAGAGTGCTGGAAAATATCCAAGGGGGTGAATACTTTCACTGTATGCAAAACCAACCACTTAGTCACCACCCTTAAAGTCTTATCTCTTCCAGTAAAGCACAAATCTCACCTTTATGCAGCTTATCCTATTTTAATGTCACCTCCCCCTCGTTCTGGTGCGCCCAAGCATCAGTCTGCCCCCAATTGGTCAGGGGGATACCCACTTTGGCTGGTCTACTAATTCTTTGTCCTTTTCTGATTGGCTGGGGATGAACATGAGTCCTCACCTCAATCAGTCAGAGTAGGTGCTCATGAATAATATACTGTATATTTGATGTTAACTTCCGTTATACATCGTATATTACCCTACATATCTTACTGTAAATATCAATTGTACATATCTGGTAAATTAGTTCTGACTGTTCAGACTAGATACTGTGCACTTTTCACTGCTGTTATTGCACTTCTGGTTAGATGCTAAACTGCATTTCATTGCCTTGTACTTGTACATGGGTAATGACAAAGTTGAATCTAATCTAAAGATGGATTGATAACTTTGGGTGAATAAAATGTCACAAATGTTTAAATTAAAGTCAGTATTTATAAAAAATGGGCCAAAAAGGGCCATGATACCAGCTCTTTGAATACTGTATTATACTTTTTTAGTCATGCATTTTACCCAGGGTTTCCTCCACTCTGATAGGATGCAGGGCAGGGAGTATCCAGGCACTGATATCCTCCTCTGGTATTAAAACACATCTGATTGGTTCCGCACTGGATACCTTGTTCTACACACTCATCGATGTCTAATGGTACAGAAAGGGCATAAGAACTTAGCTGTAATCATTTAAAGGAAGGATGAAAGGGATCCATATAGGAGAACTGTTTGCCACTCTTGCCTTTACAGCTCCTGCCATTGGGTAGGAGGTGGTAACCTGGAGGACACAGGCACTGGAAGCTCCCTATGGTGTTTCGGCACTCGTGTTGGCATGGCTTCCTGAGCAGACACTCGTCCACATCTGTTGAGAGGATTATATAAGGATGCAAGTGTGAGACTGACGAGGCTGACAAGACAGTACTGTGTAATGTGGGCGTTTTGAATGCTGTATGTATGTATTTTGATGCACACTCACCAATACACGTGCCATCTCTGTTGGTGTACCCTACAGGACAGCTCTGCCTTGTAATGCGGGATACTCCGTGCGGTTGGGAGAGGATTGGTCGGCCTAGAGATGAGACCAGCTGTGGACGGAGTCCTGCCCTGAATCTGGTCCCATTGGTGAAGGTCTGCCTTCTCTCCAGTCCTGCACAGGAGTACCCGTCCCCAAGCAGCACAGTACCAGGAGGGCACAGGCACCTGAAGCTGCCAGGGACATTACGGCACTGGTAGGCACAAGGATTTGGTGTCTGCAGGCATTCGTCAATGTCTGAAAGGTAAAATAAAGCTCCAGTGACTTCTAATGTGTGGTTCCCATTAGAGCAGTGTGGAAGTGTATTATGCAACTGCCATACCCAGACATGGAAGGCCTACTCCCTGGGATCGGTAGCCTCTGGGACATACACAACCATAGCCTCCGACCGTGTTCTGACAGATCTGAGTGTAACGACACATGTGACTTCCATCCTGGCACTCGTCTATATCTGAAACATGCACAATCGACAGCAGCATGTCTTCGGTGTCTTGCATAAAGCACATTATACTTGCTGTACAAGTTGTTTTGCTGTAGTTCATCAACATTATAACAAATTTTAAAAATGCCAGTTTCATTTGTAGAAATCCAGACACGTGATACTTTAATTACAAACTGAAAAATGTTTTTAGGTTTTGGAAATTTGTGAAAAAACAAAACCTGAAATATCTCATTTACAAAAGTATTCAGACACTCCAAACTGTGGTCAGGTGCATCCTGACTAAATTCTCTTTTGAGATGTGTTTAGAACTTGAGGTTACTTAACCCTAACCGTAATAACATGAATGAGGTGGTTCACTATGGGGAACCTATGATTATTCCAGCCAGCACGGGCTGGCAGCTGTGGTGCTTGCTCGCATCAAGGCAAAGTGAACTCTACAATAGAGGAGCATGATATGCCCACCTCTTCTACAAGCAGGGTGTTGAAGTGAGACACTCATGTTATCAGAGAGCAGGGGATATGAACTAAGAAGCCTCAAGATCTTTTGTAAATATCTCTTAGTGTCTCACTGTGTGCATATGCAGACTACCGACAGACTGCCAGCCTAGGAGGTCTGAGTATAGGTGAACCTATACTCAGGGTGGTGTGCACCAGTGACATCCAGCTCACAAATTCTAGGAGTGATTAAAGGTAAAGCTCAGTTTGCCACTGCACATGCATTCTCAGTAGTCCCACAACAAGACCCAGTAAGTTGCCTTTCCCCCTGAGTTGACCGAGCTTGTGGTTGTAGTCCTGTGCTAGTGTAGGCTGCATCAGTTACTCCCACAGTTCAGTGGAAGAGGTGTTGCTTGCCCATAAGAAGCAGTCAACTGATCAGACTTCTTAAAGGCTATTGTCCTTTCAGTATAAACATGTAGGACTCTCACTGGGCAGCAGTGTTTAATCTTGGCATGTGATTTTTATTTTTATTTTTAAATGTCAGATTTTTGTTAGTTCTAGTCTAATTGTTTGTAATAGTAAAATATAATTCAAATTATAGTAGTTTATATAATGAAGGGAACCCATAATTACTACAGCACTATTAGCAATAATAACCACATTAATAGTGACTCATAGTGGGGTTAGGGTAGGGGCAGTTCAGATGGAATGCATTTGTGTGAGATTGGTTGTCTCACACAGGCAGAGGAAGGTCTAGAGAGCAAATTCATTCAAGTTCCCAGAAAATGAATCGGATTTGACCAAGTCGAATTGAACTGAGAAACTGAGATTTTTATTTTTATTTTTTTTTTTTGTGATGGCTGAACATTTTTCCAGTGAGATGTAATCAACAAGTAGATTTTTCCAGTAAACAGTGCTTATGTTGTTTCTTGAGGATTGTTTTCTTGGTGATTGTTAAAGCCACAAGAAGTACATGCCTCAGAGTTTTTTTAAGCTGGATAAGTCTGACTTCTTCCTACTCCATTCAAGCATGTATTAGGTATAAGCAAATTGATATTGGATTAGCATTTGTTGGATATGTGTAAAATTATGTGTGTTGACATATCAACTGTCTTTTCATGCTTGAAAGAATAAATCAAATCAAATCAAGCTAAGGTCACCAAACAAACATATTAATGGGGATAGTGGAATACAGCAGCCCAATAGATGCGACAGTTCATTTATGAAAAATAGCTTTACAGGTGTGCAGAACCAAATGGCATGGATACAGGGACTGCTGGTGTGCAAAGAGCAATGTGAACATGTCATGTTTCATTGACTCCCACTCTGAACATCCTGTGACCAGTGAACTCAATGCCTTATCGTGTATTGAATAAGCTGCATGTTTGTGTTTTTTTTGTCTTGGTGAAAATATTTCTACAGATCTGATCCCAAAATTTGATATTGCAAGGTCTGATGGGACTGATAAGTCCTGTTCCCATTGAACTGAGGATATGCAAATTGACTGGTGATGGTTTGATTTTATTCTGTATATGTTAGATAACAGCTTTATTGGAGATATTTAGTTCTAAATTGAGTGGAGCTGGTTCAAGATTATTTCTAGTGATTATAGGCCTGATTACAGATTTAAGAAAATGATCTTCAATACCGTACTGCTGAACTAAATATGAAAATGGCCTCAGTGTTATTAAAAATGCGTTTCAGGTGTGTGATACCTTTTTTGATCCATCTGGGAATGCTGAGAGGTTTACTCCACATCTCAGTATATTTTGATGGCACGAAAGAGGAGTATTTAAGTAATTCAGAGGAATTTCTACCAGGTAGTCAGAGTCGTAACTATTGTTGGATTAGTACAACAGGAATGACTTTTTTTTTTTTAATATATTATGACAAATTAATGGAAAGTCTTTATTTTATTACAAAATGCTTGTTCAGTGTCTACCCATTAAGTATTAGGGTTATTTGGATGAATCCATTTAACGTATTTTATGTAACTGGACAAAATACCGAAAGTTGAGGGCTTCTAAATCTCTTCTGAGTTGTCCTAGGTCCTTTTAGGTGTTTTTTTTTTTTTTTTCCCCAGTAAATTTTTGTTATAATGAATCTAAAGATTTGAACCAAGCAACACTGGGCTGTGTTGGAATTATTGTAAAGTTTATTTTTTGGTAATATTGTCATTTTAATAACGGCAATCCAATGTTCCAAAGTTCCGAGTCACTAGTTTTAATGTCTTACGTAATGGGCAGAAATTAAGATTGAACAACTCTGACACCCTGGCTGAAATGTTTATCGCCAAATATGTAATATTACCAGTGGCAGGTACTGACTGAGGCATCATCTTCCAATCATCTCAACAAAGTGGAAGTATAGTCGATTTAGTCCAGTTGATTTAATAATTAGAAGTGTCATTTTTATCCTAATATTTATTTTAAGCATTTTGAGACTACAGCTGTCACCATCTTTGTTGTGTACAGTTACCATGGTTACAGGTGTCAACCCCGTCTATCACAAGGTTAGTGGAACTGGCTATTTATTTGTTCACACAGTGTCTGTGTGCGTCTTCTCTACTGAGCAATGAGCAAATCCTGTTCACTGGGTTTAGTTGGATAAATGACTTTGGATAATTTTAATATACTGTAGTTCTTTAGGAGACGTCTAGAGGGAGACTTAGGTGGTCGATCGCCAACATGGAAATTGGTACTCCATTTTGAGTGTTGCAGAAGATATCTGACTGATCTATTACATTCACAGCTCTACTGTTGCTGAATGTAAGACAGTATCTTATTAACAGCAGAGCAACACGTCAAGTGGCTAATTCAAGAGATTTCTGAAGCATCCAGCCAAGACAACGTTGGAGTGGCTTCGGTAAACCTCTCAGAATATCTGTGGAGAGACCCTGATGATAGAAGCTCAGACACTTCTCATCAAATCTAAGAACAGGGTAAACTGCCCAAACTGAGGAGTGCAAAGAATGTGGAGACTTACCCCAGAAGATTCAAAGCTGTAATTGCTGCTACACAGTACTGAATTAAATACCTTTCTAAATGAGAGACTTCAGCATTTAATGTTTTCATTTCATCATTTTGGGTTATTGAGTGTAGACCAATGGAAAAAATGTAAACTTAAATCCTCAAAGTGTACAAACACTGAAGAAGTCAGGGTTGCTAACCGAATTTCATTGTGCACTATGCAATAACAATAATGGAATCTATCAATCAAAATAGCCACTGTAATGCACTGTACAGGAATAACAAGACATGTCTGAGATGACACAGACCCTTGATCTCAAGCTAGTTAGGACTACAGTTTCTAAAATGAAGACCACATTACCATAAACTTTGTTGCATCCTGCTCAAAAGAGGAACTTTGTTTTGTCGAAGGTTTTCTATTAGTAACAAGCAACAGTGTTTGATTTGGCTCTTTGTGAAGGACAAGCAGTGACCCCAGTGTACCCTAAAACAGTCCTGTGAAATCTGAACTGATGTTGCGTAATTCAAAATGTACTGTAGGTGCCGTTGACTTTCAGTGATTAGACTAATGCCTACAAACCCAGGTATTACCTCGGAGGTGGGAGCTAAATCTATGAGCCATTCAAGGTTGAGAGGCTAATGTCTCAAAAGGATTGTAGTGATGAATGGTAAAATGGTACATGTAGCAGCCCCCCCCAAAAAAAATAAACACCAAGCAGATGAGAAATAAAGCATGACACCCACTTACCCATGCAGGCTCCATTCTCTGCTGTGGTCATTCCAGCTGGACAGCTGTCAAAGCACTGGTATCCTCCCTCTGTGTTACGGCACTGCTGGTGGGCCGGGCACACATTTCTCATGCACTCATTGATATCTGTAAAAGTGCAGAGCTGTTAGCGACTGTCCATTAGTGCCTAGTGCTAAAAGTATTCCAGTTATACAGATGGTCTGCTGGGTCTTAAAAAAAAATAATCCTAAATCGAACCAGTCTTGAAATTCTTAAATTCTTGTTTTCCCTACTGAAGAGGAAATTGTAAGCTGACTGACCGAGGCAGCGATGTCCTGACAGTTGGTATCCAGGATGGCAGATACAACGGTAGGAGCCCAGAGTATTGAGACACTGATGCTGACAAGGGGAGAGCGCAGACTCCTGGCATTCATCCACATCTGGAACACACCATTTACACATCTGGCCCAATTAATCTACTGTGGATATCCAGTGTACAAGATACTATATGGTAAGAAATCAGATTTTTCTTCTTGATTATTGCAGTTGCAAATATACGATCACAGTAGAAAAAACTGGAAATGTGTACTACTACAGTAGGAGATAAGTTGTTAATGCCTCGTATGAACTGTTGAGCAGACAGTTCAACAATAATTCACCTTCACAGCTGGTTCCTGTGATGCTAGGCTTAAACCCTGGTCCACACTTGGCCTGGCAGCGGTATGTGCCCACTGTGTTGACACACTGCTGATTGTAGTGGCACACGTTTGAGCCCTGGGCACACTCATCAATATCTGCATGATATAAAGTGAAACAGAAGCTTGACAATTGCTGGGGCATAGGATTTGTTGGTGATGAGGGCTTTTTTTCTTTACCTAGCTAGGACATTTCCTTTGTATGTGTGGTAATTATCATTGTTAATTAATCACAGAAACTCATCAGGCATGTGTATTTTTGCCTCACCTTGGCATACGTTAGTCTCGGTGGAGATGGTGAAGCCAGATGGACAAGCACAGGAAAAACCTCCCATGATATTGTTACAGGAATGAGAGCAGGGAGACTGGAGCGTACACTCATCTTCATCTAAAAAGAACACATTTTCATATTAATAAGACTGATATGGTTACAGATTTTCAGCCCTGAATGAGGCATTAAAAAGGAAAGCAGCATACCAGCACAGAAGGAGGCTGTGTCAAGAATGAAACCTTTAGGGCATGTATCTCCGTAACCATCTGTAAACATAGTGTTCATTCAGATCCAATATTTCACAAGATGTAGTGATGGTGAAGGTTCAAATAATTGTGTATTGTCCCCCCTACCTGGTGTGAGGAGACTGGCAGTAAGATGGAAGTCCAAAGTGAGAGTGAGCACGTTGTAGACACTGTTCAGCCCAGAGACTTTGAGCAGCTGGAGCAGAGGGCCCTGGCGCTCCTTCTGGCCCTCATAAATAATAGTGTGATTACAACGCAGCACTATGGGGGTTCCTCCTCTCTGGTGGGTCTGTGTTGACCATGAGTACAGCTGCCCTTGGCCTGTTTGCATGTATGACTCGTCAAACTCCTGAAGCACCCAAAAGAAAACGGGTCAAAGAAACTAAATGGAACTTAAGTATGGCAGTAAATGGTTTACTGATATGTCCAAGGTATCTAAATACAGATTGTAGTGACAGCAGGATGCACCTGTAGGCTCAGATGAGATGTTGATAATGAAGGAGGCACAAATCCATTAATTACAACATCAATCAGTAAAACTCCCTCAGAATCCAGACCTCTGGCGACGTGGGTCATACGAAGTATCTCCCCTGTTAAAAGACAAACATTAAAATGACCACTTATTTACAAATATAAGGGTCAGTGGTGGTAAATGGCGCCATCTGCTGGTTGTTTTCTAAATAGGAAATCAGTGGGAAAAACTTGTCTTTTTAGATGGTCTTTCTGTCTTCTCTGCAAGCACTCACCATATTATATACAAATGTTTGCATGAGTGTATAAGTCCTATTTGTGCAAAACCTGCATTAAAGCCAGGAAAACTTGCCAGTCTCAAACTCCAGCTGAGACTCCTGTCTGAAGTGGCCCTCAGTGAAGGATTAGCCGTTTCTGGCTGCACCGCTCTGCAGCACAGTGGTCCAGTAGATGGGAGCAAACAGACACACCAGTACCCGCAACAAGGGACCTACAACACAACAGCATCAACTCTTGGTCTCAGCAATGCGGTAAATGCTTCCTACACAAGATTAATGTGTTTTCACTTCTTAAGAAAAGAAATCACAAGGAGAACATACTCCAAGTTTCCCCTGAATCTATCACCAATTCAGGGAAGTGGTAAATAAGCATCAAGTGAACTGGTTCATCACTCAGTAA